TTGGAGTGTGTCATAGTTGTTGTTGGTTTTTTGTTTTCCATGTCTTACTGCCGTCGACTTTGTTGTTTTTTGTTTCTGTACGTGGCTCTTTACATTTTGTGTGTTGGCATGTGTGTGGTGGAGTATTTGTTTGTATTTTTTTGGAGACTTTAATGGCTAGTAGGCCAGCCAGCCAGTAGCCAGGTGATGCGGAAAAGAGGTTTATGGATCAATTACAAGTTTTTATGTAGGTCAGCATAATTTGTCAACCGAATGTTAAGTGCGATTTTTAATTATGTTATGATTATGTTTCGTTTAAATGCGGATGGACGGGGCCAATGTCGCTTGTTGCGGAACACGAGACTATAAGTAGAGCAGATTAGAAGTTGCGCAACGCACTTTTGTATTCCTTCAAATCGTCTTCAGTTCTAAAGGGTATAACTATTCAAAAAGTGTTGATCTGGAGAAAAATTAAGTCAAATCAAAAAATTAATCCGGTATGTAAAGAAATTCGTTGTCGGGCATTAAAATTAATACAACCGAAAATAAGAAGCCAAATAAGGTTACTTCCAATAAAAGGTTCTTAAATCGAAATACTTTGTGGTTATGAGTGTAACAAATAAAAAAAAACAGATATATCGGACTTATATCTATATCTGAACCGATACTATACCAAATTTGACGTAATTGCTTCCAGGCTAAATTCACATTTAGTGCACAATGGACTTCAAAACGGATGTGTATAGCACCAATATCCCACTTTAAGACGATCTGGAAGAAATTTGGCAAATGTGTTTCTAGGATGTATAAGACACTTTGCAACGTAAATCATTGTTGGTCGGCTTAAATATCAAATCGGATGAAATACCAACTCCGATGAAACATATATATGAAAACTATAACTGTATCTTAACCAATTTTCTTTAACTGACTGAGTGATTGATCGAAAATCAACGCTTATACGAAACTGAAACTGGCTGAAGCTAAAATCATGACGAAAAGAACTAAAAATTGATACTTGCTATTAGAAAAGCTCAAATTGAAATTTGGAATGAGAGTCGTTGAAGGAGAGGATAGATGTGCTAAAGCGTTTTTGGATTTTTGAACTTTAAGGTTATGAAAAGTTCTAAAATGGTACTAAACTTTAAAATATGAGAATCAAGGTTGGAAAGTATGATTGATATGTGATGAAGGTGGTTTTGGAAATGTGTACTAAGTGGGCACACGGTATTAAATGGTACTGAATTTGGAACAGTTTGGTTTACGGTGATCGGATGAAGTTGAAATTTTTAAAATTGTGTATTTGGGTCCCTATGTTTGGGTATTTTTGTGATAAAGGGGTGGGTTTGGAAATGTGTACTACAAGAGTACAAAAAGTACTATATAGTTCCACATTTGGCATTAGGATCGCTGTTTATGTGGACTATATATCGTATTGGGTGAAGGAATAGAGAGTTCTGAAATTTGATATTTAGATTAATGATAGTATCTGTGTTAGAATTTGCGGTGGTTAAGAAATGCGTCCTATATTTGTACAAAAAGTCCCAATTGGTTCTACATTTGGAATTAGGCGAAGGGATAGGGCTGAAATAATCAAATTTAATATTGAGGTTTCTGTTGGTATATATAATTGAGATATGGAGGTAGTTTTGGAAATATGTACTATAACTGTACGAAACTAAATAACTAAAGCTAAAATCCTGAAATAAGATATTAAGGTCACTGTTGGTATCTGAAGTTGAGATATGAAGATGTTGGCTTTAGATATGCCGGTAGACTTCAAACGAAAGATTTTGACGAATTTTTGGTACATAAGGTAATCATTTTACGATTATCCTTTGGGATAAAAGAAAAACTTAAATATGAATAAAGTGTAAAGTAATGCCCTGCACAAAAGTGTAATTTAGGGTATAACGAATTGAAATATTTTTCAACTATTTGGTGACATCGTATGACATATGAAAATAACACTGGGCGACAAAAAAAGCAAATTATGATAGTGGAGCTAGAAAGAGAAGAAACCTAAATAGAGGAGGCAAATTTCCACTCTTCTACAATATTGTAGTTAAAAATACGAAAAATATTTGGTGGGGCATTTTAACCCTCAATCAAGTCAAAATGGTTAAAAACTCTTCTTATAATTTTATCAAAACTCTATTATAGGACCTTGAAGACGGCAATAGCTTAAATCTTACCTAAATGCTAGGAATTCATAAATATTAAAAATGAATTTAAGGGTTAAAGCCGTACTTTAAGTTTGTGTAAAAATCTCTAACAATCCATCAGCATAGAAAGATGATGTTAAAGAAAGAATATTTTTAATCAAATATTACTAGAAATCACTAAAGAAACCTCCATTACCATTCTATTAACAAAAAAATGCATAAATGTGCAAAAAAAGAAAATATTCCCTTTTTTGATTGCATTTTCAGTTTTTTAGTATTAATTCAGCGAGTATCCAATCCGAGTTCAAATCTCCCTTAATACTTCATGTTTTGGGGAAAGTCTTAAAGGACGAAATATTCTATATCGAATTTCAATGTGAGTCTCTAAACAAAAGACATGTGTATGGTAAATATGTGCCATAGAAAAATATCATTAGATTTGATTTATAAAAAAATCTAATTTTTGGCAAATTTAGCAGTCTTTTGTGAATATGCTGTAAATTTTCTTATATACGTTTATAGTCCTCAAAAGAAACTTTAGAAAACGCTTTCATAGTCTTTAAAGGAATCCTTGACAGTCCTTAAATAATATATTCTCGTTGAGAGTTCTTCAAAACCACTTTGATTATGAACCCCAAGTTGATAGTCCTTAAGAGAATCCCCATTGAACATCCAGAAAAAAATTTCCAAGAAACTACGTTGATAGGCTTTCAAAGAATTCCTGAAAATCAATGTTTATGACTTTGTCAGTTCTTAAATAGTTCTTCTTAGTTCTTAAAAATTCTAAATATCCGTATTGTTTCTGTAAGAGTCCAGGTTATCGAAAAAATCCTAAAAAATCTTAGCTTGTTTTAAATCCACATTTGCTGCTATGTGACTCCTTAAAAAAACTCCTTATGCTCAAGATTTTTGCTTTAAAATCCCCAAAAATTACCGATTATTGCTTTCAAACTGTTTGATTATGCTTTGGCGGATCTTCACAAAAAATCCAGTAAAATTAGGCAATATTTGCTCTACTGATCTTTGAAACAATTATATTTGTCTTCTTCGGTTATTGCTCTGCTGATCCTTGAAAAATTATTCTTTAAAATCCATATTTATTTTTCTGCTGGACCATAAAAAATGTCACTACAAATCTTGGTTTATTCCTCCGCAGGTCCTTGAAAAGATCGTTCAAAAACCATATTTACGTTCTTCGAAAAAACATTTCTTAAAATAGGAAAAAATAAAACTTTAAAAGAGTCAATATTTTTACTTTCTTTATTTTGAAAATCCTCCCAATATTCGGTATTTTTATTATTTAAGCGACAGTATTACCGGAATTATTTCAAATTTCACATTTAAAGTTCGTAGTGGGTACTTCAGCCTATGACAAAACATTTTGTATGCAGGTCCACCTCCCCATATTCGGTATTTTGATGATTTAAGCAACATTATTCACCGGAATCGTTTCAATTTCGTATTGGGAGATCTTAATGGTTACTACAACCTATGGAAAAAAATAGCTTGCAGTTCCACGTCTTTGTAAAGCTCCCATATGACTGTACCTCCCAATACTCGGTATTTTTATGATTTGTGCGACATTATTCACCGGAATTATAACAAATTTCGTATTTAAAGTTCTTAAAGGGTACTACAGCCTATGACAAAAAAAAAAATCGTGTGTAGGTTCACGTTTTCGTATATCTCCCATGTATCGGTACATTCCAATATTCGGTATTTTGATGATTCTAGCGGAAATTGTTTCAAATTTGTTATTTGAAGTTCGTAATGAGTACTACAACCTATGACAAAAAATTAGTAAGCAGATCCACGTCTTCGTATAGTCTCCATTTAACCGTTTTCATTTAAGTGGTAGTTTCCGGATTTTTTTGAAATTTATCAAGTTCCTTCCAAATCGTGGAGGATATTAAAAGCTCGGTCCGGCCGAACTTAGCTGCTTTTTTACTTATTATCTTCTCAGACATCGCTACATCGAAATATTATCAAAAATATCAGTTCTCTTAGAAATAAATATTTAAATAAAGAGTTTTTTATATATTTTATTTCCTTCAAGGAATATTTTCCGAATTTTTCTTAAAACCATCTTATGGCGCACCTTCATACCAAAAAATTCAATATCCTATATATAACCGTTACTTTTCGGCCTTAATTATATGTTGACCAGTTAGTCAGCTGCTCATTACCTAAATATTTGGTATCAAACCAAGCCATCTCCATTGCCAACAACCCCATTTCTAAATTTTCCAACTGGAATTTCCAACAGATATGCTTCAAGTTTTATACGATAATAACCAAAGCAGAAAATCCATAAAAATTGCAACATTTTTCTGGATTTTTCCAGCTGTTTGCCATTTTCCTCCCGTTTTACAGTTCTCTGCTTTGTTATTTTTATTGTGTTTCTTCTTGTTGTTGGTAGTAGTTTTTCAGAGACCTTGAATTGGGAGTACATTGCCACTTTTACTCGCTCCCCAATGCTGTGCTGTGCTGCCACACTTGTTTTGATCGATCAAGTGCAGTGGAGACTTTATGAAAGAGGTGGTGGTGGCACTGGTGGTACCTGTTCCATGTCTGCTGGCAGCAGCGGTAGCTTCATGCTCGTAGCTTTATGTGTGTGTGTGTATGTTTGGCGTTACATTGAACCAAAACTCTTTGCGCATGCGCACACTGACTTCTTTGAATGATTGGTTGGTTGGCTTTCTTTGACTTTTACTTTAAGCCACGACTCGCATGGCGGCCGGTGCTGCAGATACGGCTGCAGTCGACGCCAACACCAACGTCACCGTCCGACATTATTAACGTTATAATGAACAAAAATATTTCTACAATAATGAAAATGGTTTAGTTGGATTTTGACCGGCTTTTGAAACGCTTCTTCATCGACATTTGTTTGTTTTATTTTCCTTTCCGTCTTTTGCGGTCCGACGTTATTTTCATAATAAGAAAAAGACAGAAAAACGAGAAAATTTGTGAAGAAGAAAGAAGAAGTTGGCTCATAGTTTCGGTTTGATAAATGTAGTTCTCTCTTTCTTTTTTTGTTATTGTTGTGTTATTACTGTAAAGAAAACGCATGCCGTCATCGAACGCGAAAAAATCAAAATCAAAAATCGAAAAATAAAAAACAAATCGAACGAAAGTCTAAAAATTATACTTTCGAATGCGTCGAACGCACAAAGCTAATCGTTGAAATTTCTTTACGCTATTTTGTAGTTGTTTTTTGATACAACTGTGGTGGACCATCGCCCCACCACCTGGCCGCTCCCGCCCCCTCCACGCACGAAACCCTTTTGTTGGCATCGCGCGCCGTGGCCGTCGTGCTCAGGCCCTGTGTTTGCGTTAAGCAAGCAATCAAGCGAGCGTTTATTGTTGTCAGAGTCGGTTTCAACATCAACATCATCACTGTCTTCATCATCATCATCCTCTTCTTTGCCGTCTTCAGCTCTTCTTTTCTGGGATTTCAATGAAAAGTGTATGTTTGAAGGTAGACGACACCAGCAACAACAATAACGAAAAAGCATGAGAAAGTGAAATTTTTTGGTCTTACGATCCGATTGACGACCAGCAGCGACCAACGACCAGTATTTATAAAAACTATGCGCGTTCAACAAGTATTTCGACGATCTGAAGCTTTGTTTGTTTTTTTCCTTCTCCTCCTTCTTTCTTTCGGTCTGTGAGCTGATTGTGTTGTCGTGTGTTACGGAGAAATTTCTTTCCCTCGACGAGAATTTGTTTTTGTGTTTTTTTTTTTGTAATGTGAAACAGCAGAAACACGTCTCAGAAAAATTCCAAAAAATAAAAAATATTTATTCGAAAAAAATTGATATAAAATTCGAAAAAAAATTCAATCAATCTATCCGTGATTCTTTTTTCAGTGAAAACGAAAGCCAAAAAGCAAAACGAAATTCCAAAAAAAAAAGAAAAAATAAAATAAAAAAATCAATATTCCAAACGAAAGAGAACGTCAATTTAAAATTCTAAGAAAGTGACAATGTTGGATTTCTAAACGATTTGATTTACACAAAAAAAAAAACATCTGCAGTATTGAAAAGTCGAAGTAAGTGAATATTTATTAAACAAAAAAGACAACAACTACAATAGCAAGATATTGGTTATTTATAAACTCTGCCAAGACGAAACCCCTGACGAAAAAATTAACCGTTTAACGGAAGTAGGTCAGCCAAGTTGTTGTAGCCGCTATGTGCTGGTGCTGGCGCTGCTGCTGCGCATGCCTAGATGTTTGCTTTCATTTGTGCAGTCTCGCAGTGCAGCGAAGCAACTGAGACCAACCAAAAATATGGGTTTCTTCCAAAACCACTAAAAAATAAAAATAATTTAATGATTGATTTACATGGTCAACTGCAACCCTGGGTATTTCCGCAATACTGGCCAGCACACAAACCTACACACACGTGTAACAATGCAAGGTCTTCTTTTTAACTCCTTCCCATCATCAAATTGACAAGGATAAATACCAACACACTTAATTACCACTTAAAACTAAACTTAAAGATCACCTCACCACCAACAGCGGAGAGAGAGAGAGAGAGAGAGAGGGAGAGCGACCGAGAGAGCAAGACTTACTCTAGCCCCAATTTACAGCCACAGAATCATTTGTTGTCATAGTTTTTTTTTTTTTTCTTGGAAATAGTCAATGTCATTTGGTCAATAAAAAAATAAATCACTTCGAGCAGATTCATTGCCAAGCTGATCGCTGACTGACATTTATTTTATTTATATTTTTAACGATTTGTTCTTCAGCAATACCTGCCCAAAAAACCAACAAAATACCTGACTGAAAATCTCAATTACTCTCAATTTTTATGACAATTAAAAAAAAAAAACAAGAGATTGGACGTTTAATTGCCTCCATGTGTCACGGATAGCCTCATTAAATCCCAAACCAAAATTTTCCTCTCCAATTTGTGGCCGATTGATGAATGACCTTGTGATATAAATCAAATGCGTCAGTGGCAGAATGTTTTGTAAAACTTCTAATAAATGTGTATATCAGGAATCAATTTGAAATGGTGATTTAAATAATTATATCACGGAAAGATGAAATTATTTTAAATCCTTCTCTCAACCTCTGATATTTATAAACTCAGCCAAATGGCTAGGGAGGGTATATATCATTTGATACGGCCAAAACGTGACTCACCGAAATAACGGTTTTAGATTCTAGGTCTCTTTGGACAAAATCCGTTTCAGGACATTTTGAGTCGATCTTGCGAGGTCCATGATAATTCTCGAAGGTCCAAACTTGGTATATCGCAATATTATTATCAAACTTAGATCCAGTTCGGAGATGGGCAATATCAATCCACTTCTTCTTGTACCTGTCGAAATTTCCAAAAAAATATTGTACTGCACGGAAAGGAGAAGGATAATCCGATTCCGCTCCAACTTTGCAAAACCTAATATTTGTACAATGCTAGGTCATGTGAAAAAAGGACAATATAGGTCCACTCCATCACGTACCTCCCCCACAAAGTGTCAACATTTTGAACAATTATAACTCTTATAAAACGTGATGTAATAGTCCTATTCTCTTGGAATTACAGACATCACAATATTTTTATTAAACTAAGGTCTGGTGTGAAGGGGGTCCATTGCTTCTGCTACCTCCCCCATAGAAGGACAAAACTTTGAATAACCATGAAACTCATAAAACGCGAAATTAACATCCACTCAGACTTGGCACAACTCAATATTTCTATCAACACAAGATTTGTTATAAGATGGTAGAGATCGGATCATTCCTTTTGGTACATCCCCCACAAAGGGTCAAAGTTTTGAATAACCAAAACGATCATAAAATCCGAAATAAGTATCCGATTCTATTCATATTTCACACATCCCATTATTTTTACTAACACATGGTCTGTTGTGAAGATGGTATATATCGGTCCACTCGTTCTGGTACCTCCACCACAAAGGGTCAGAATTTTAAATTATTATAATCCTTATAAAACGTGATGTAAGTGTCCGATTGTCTTCAAATTACACACACCACAATATTTTTACTACCCAAGGTCTGGTGTGAAGATGGAATATATTGGTCCATTCCTTCTGGTACCTCCCCACAAAGGGTCAACATTTTGAGTATCCCCATACCATATAAGGGTATTATTTTATTTTATTTATTGTGGGGGGTCATGTCATATTTCACAATCGATTTGGATTCCAATTGGCGCGTAGGACACCATTTCCATCGTTTTATATTTTGCAAGTTTTGGCCTTTCGGTGCCCATGTATTACACCATTGCCCTTAGCATCAAAATAATATTTTGTACACATACAGCCACATAAGTACGAAAAGTTATGATTTCACCATTTCAATTTCATACATAATTGGCTCATTCATACCAAATAAAATTCGAACTCAACTCGAGACATCGAATTTTTAAAAACAACATCGGCAGAAAAATCTCCATTGAAAATTTTAGAATTTTGGCCAAATTGGACATATTTGCTTTCAGGTTGAATGCGTACTATAAAATTAAATGTCCGTTTGTCCGTCTATGAAATTACATTAGCTTCCGAACTCAGATATGTGTTAGATCTGCAGGTCCTTTGGTATTAAAATAGGCAAAAAGCTCCACGTTTTGTTATAGCCACCATATAACTGTACCCACAGATTTAAGTTTTTTCTTGGGTGTTTTTGTAACAATTTTAACCCGAATTGGCAGCATATATTCCCATTATGAAAGTAACATCCATGCATAGAACTGTCAATATAGTTCTAAGTTTTGGTATAGTCTATTATTTTAGCGACATTAATCACCGGAATTGCTTCAAATTTGGTATTTGAAGTTCGAAATTGATACTACAGCCTAAGACAGAGAAGTGTCTGTGCAGGTCCACGTATTCGTATAGCACCCCCCCCCCCCCCCCCCCCTTTTTTAAACAGTACCTCCCGACATTCGGTATTTTGATAATTTTAACGACATTATTCACCGGAATTGTTTCAAAATTGGTATTTGAAGTTCATAATGGATACTACAGTCTATGACAGAAAATTATCTGTGCAGGTCTAGGACTTCGTAAAACCCCCATATAATCGTACGTGCCTATATTCGGTATTTTGATGATTTTAGTGATATTATTTGCCGAACTTGTTTTAAGTTTCGTGTGTGAGTATCGTAATGGCCTATAATAAAAATTGTATATAGAAGTTCACGACTTAGCGTAGGCCCCAATATAACGGTTAGCAGTACTTTTTAACGGCTTTCTTTAAAAATTAGCAAATTCCTTCCAAATGCCGAAGGATATTCAAAGTTCGGACCGGCCGAAATTACTGCTTTTTATACCCCCCTATTTGGAAAGAAGGCAATATTTGTTAATCCGTTTGTAACACCTCTAAATATTCGTCATAGACTTTATGAAGTATTTATATATTCTAAGTCGATTTAAAGATGTCCGTCTGTCTGTCTGTTGAAATCACGATACAGCTCACATTATTTGAATTAGAGCTTTGAAATTTGGCACAGTAGTGTGCATTGTGTTCAGGATGGTTGGTATTGAAAATGAAATATATCGGTCCACGTTTTGGGATAGCCCCCATATAACGGTACCTCACGCAAGCCATTGTACATATAGGTGCACGTTTTCGTATAGCTCCTGTATAACGGTGCCTCCCGATATTCGGTATTTTGATGTTTTTACCCACATTTTTCTACGGATTTGTCTACAAATTGGTATTTCTAGTTCGTAATGGGTTCTAGTTTCGCTGCCAGAACATTAAATATCTAGGTCCACGTTTTCCTATAGCGCACATATAACGGTTCTATCGGATATTCCGTATTTTCCATATTTTCTTATAGATTTGTGTGAAATTTGGTATTTGTATTTCACAATGTGTTCTAAAATCGGCGTCAAAAAAACATTATTCATATTTATGCTAGTCATCCTAGTCACATTTACCCACGAAATTATAAAAAATTAGTATTTAAGGAACACATACTTACATCAAATTAGGGTATATTATATGCAGGAGCTATCCGTAAATTATCATCCTGTTTTGACAACTTTTATTATTATTATTTCAAGGTTATATGAGATCTCTCGTTTGAATATCGAATCGGAAGAAACATAATCATGGAAACTGAAGGTATATAAAAACCAAATTTTATAGATTCATTTCTGGCATTAATTCGACTTTGTGTGTTTACTTCCATCAGATTTGGAGATATTCGATGAAAATATATATGTCAGTTATAAACAAATCTAAAACGATAATCACTCCCCTGTTAAGACCACAAAGACATAATTCCACACACCATAGTCTTGATACGACAGGGGGTATTGTAATGTCATACCAAATTAAGTCGAACATGTCAAGTGGTGTTGGTGGTGAACTGTCACAACGATTGTCGGCTATGGCTGTCATACATAATTATGTTAATAATCCGACGATGACAACGACGGCGACGATGACGACGAAGAAAAAAAAAACGTAATCAAATGTTTTGAAGTGATTATCAACAGCTTTGTGATTTAATTTTTTAATTAACGCCATTTGAAGAGCGGAAAAAACGAGCTGGCCATCTATTGTTTCTGCGTTTTTGGTTTGCCACTTGGCCACAATGGCCACTTAACAAAAATTGCACATCACTTCATGCCGATGTTGTTGTTGTTATTGTTGTTTTTGCTGCTATTCATATTTAGACGAGCTGTCATTATGATTTTTGTGTAATATTTTGTAACAGCTCAGCCAACAGAGCTGAGGATGAATTGATGACGATGATGATGATAGGGATCTACTGTCTCATTGACTGACCGACTGGTGTTGGCCGATTGTCGGGATGTTGTAATGCAGCGACACATGGCTAAAACGCACAAGTAAACGCTTTATGGGTACTCTTTTTTTTGCTCGAAGAGATATTTATGCAATTTATTTGTAACGCTGCTGGGCTGGTCGATGTAGTTATTTTGCCAGTGACCCTGTGCCAGATGAAGGTTTGCTTTGTAAATCAACAACAAATGCAACAACAACATGAGCAACAGAAAATAAAATAAAAATTTAATTCTTTTTGTTGTTGGCACATTAAACAC